GGGCAGGCGGGAATCGAACTCATGTGGAAGTGGCTTTAGCTTCTTAGTGCTGTGCTTTAACCCGCTGTGCCACCAGGGAGGGCCCCCAATGCTATATTTTTAAAGACATATCCATTTGGTCATTTGGAATTTAATAAAAAATAACAGGAATTTATAATACAATATGACAGCATTTATAATTGAAATACTCCTGGGAGTAGAGAAGAAATAATTCCTTCTAAAGCTATGAAGGGGAACAGAGGAAGAAAAGCTTTGTGAGAAGTGACACTGAAGCTGAGAGGAAGGAGCTGATGTAGGTAAGCAGCGCCACAGCGCTCCGAAGTGGGTACGTGCCAGCAGAGACATGCGAAGAAATAGTGATATTTTCAGGAAACAGTAAGTGTTCACCAGAGCCCTATTATAGGCTTGCTGGAACAATACTAGCAGAAATAGCAGTATTAAGTTGGAGTCAAAATACTATGCAAAACATTAAACTACAATCTCCTGGAGAGCCATTGTAAAAGCTCCTATCTGAGTGGCATGATCACATTTGTCTACTGGGTTCTTCTGATAGTGGTATAGTGGGGGTGGGGTGGGGAGTGAGAATAGAAGCAGAGCAGGAGGGGTGAGACGTGAGGATCTCGGGTCTGCAGCCACAGAGATGGGGAGAGAGAGCCCTATTCGGGAGAGAGTGAAAAGGCAAAGTCAATGAACTTGCCAATTTCAACCATTTTAAGTATGAAGAAGAAGTAGGATGTCAAGCCAATAAGCTATTGTATTTTCAATTTTCCTACTCCTTCCTAGGGATGTTAGGGTTATGACTTTTAGAATTTTAAATGCATTTACAGTAAGTACAATATCGAAATCTTCTTGGATGTAAGTGTATATTAAGTGTATAATCTTATATAAAATGCATTGTATTACATTAAGTGTGTTATTTTACATAAGTGATGTCAAGGGTGCTTTGGATTTTTGTCACTTCTCAAACCTAATTGGAGACAGAAGTAAATGCATCTGGAGTGGATGGTGCAAATGGAGGGTAAGGACGCCATGGACGATGTTTTCTGGAGCAGCTTCTCATTCCTTGGTTACTGGTACCTTTTCAGAGTGGTAGAAGAATTATTAGATGAGGAAGGAAACAAGATGTAGGAGTGAAAATTATAGACATGCAAGCCTGCCTCATGCTCTTTTATTTTATAAAATGTAACTAAGCAGGGGCCCTCCCTGGTGGCACAGCTGAAGCACAGCACTAAGAAGCTAAAGCCACTTCAGCATGAGTTGTATCCCTGCCCAGGAGGTGACCCACATGGCGCGGCAGACCTCTCCTGACCCACCCGCTGCTCCCCTCAGCAGTGGATTTTGTCACTGAGCCTGTTCTACTCCCCACTCTGTCTCTAGTGAATCCTCTCACCGCCCCAGCACCTCTGGCCTGCTCCCCAGTTCTGTATGCATAAATCTTTAAAAAAAAATGTAACTAAGCAAATGATCCATCTTTCAGGGACAAAGGCTCATCAGAGAAAAACAGATTGTGGTCAATACATTCAATATTTCTGGAATTCTGAGAAATGATCACCATATTTGCCATTAATGGGTTGAATTTTTTTTTTTTTTTTCAGTAAAGTACACAGGGAAATTTATGAGTGGGAAGAATAAAGCCCTTACGTGTTACATCCTTGCCATTGCAACAGACTGCATAATTCCTACCTATACAGGAATTGGCTTTCAAATTTTTTTTTTTTAAAGATTTATTTATTTGTGCATACAGAACTGGGGTACAGGCCAGAGGCTCAGGGGCGGTGAGAGGCTTCACCAGAGACAGAGTGGGGAGCAGAACAGGCAGATCGACGAAGTACACTGCTGAGGGGAGCAGCGGGCGGGCCAGGAGAGGTCTGCCTCGCCATGTGGTCACACTCCGGGGCAGGCGGGAATCGAACTCATGCGGAAGCGGTTTTAGATTCTTTGTGCTGTGCTTTAACCCGCTGCGCCACCAGGGAGGGCCCGGCTTTCAAATTTTTAAGCAAAAAATTAATGTTAAAAAAATTAAATATCCTTTAACAGTTGAAACTGTTTCCTAGCAAACCTATTCAACTGCCATTTCTTTGCAAAATTAAGCAGATTTATTTATGTATTATATTTTGGATTCTTATTCTATAGTAAAATTAATTTCTTGAATCAGAATTTAAGTCTGTAAAATGTGGACACTATAGGAAAATGATGATTCATAATCTCATTTACTGCTTTTGCATCACCAAACCTAATAGTGAATATTCATTTTCCTGAAAACACCTATATTCCCCAAAAATTGCTATACTGGGACATTCAGTAATTTTTGGTAATACCGTTTCTGTGGTTACCTATTTCAGTAGCCTCCACTATATCTATCAAAATATTAATTATGTCCTTCTGTACAATTACATCCTTCTGTACTCTACCTCAAAGAGCATTTGCACAGCCACCTACATGAAATTCAATTTCTTTCATAGATGCTAAATCATTACAATAAATCTATGTTACTGTATAAATTTATATAAAATGTAAAGATGAGACAGTATTTTGATAGGAAATATAACAAGATTAATAACTCATTTTTAAAAATATGTATGTAATCTGAGCTGGCCATTTTTTACAGAATTTGTAAATCTGAACCTAAAATTTGTATGGAAATGTAAGGGTCCCAAGTAGCAAGAAAATCTCAAAGATTCATTACAGAGTTGGAGGAACAACATTTCTGAGTTAACCACATTTCTGAGTTTCAAGCATTCAACAAAGTTATAGACACAGTGTGGGAAGACTAACAGCTCAGACATACACAAAAATGTATGAATAGAATTGAGGCCCTAGACATAAACCCTTAATTTGTGGTTTACTGATTTTGGCAAGGATATCCACAAATCAATGATAAAGACTTTTATCAACTGGTGCTAAGACAACTGGATATCCATATGAAAAAATAAATTTGGATCTTTATTTTACACCATCAAGAAAAATTAACTCAAAATAAATGAAATTCCTAAGAGAGATAAGGCTAAAATATCCTTACAAAGAAACATCAGAGGATCTTCTTAGGCAGTCTATGTTCAGATGTAATGATACCAAAAGCACAAATAACAAAAGAAAATAAACTGGATAACATCAAAATTAAAAAAAAAAAATTGTTACTCAAAAGACACCATGAAATAAATAAAAAGATGACCACATAATGTGAAAAAATAATTGCAAATCACATACCTGATGAAGTTCTTGTATGTACAATATGTAAATGACTCTTACAACCAGCTGTAATTAACTCAATTAAAAATTACCATTAATAGGGCCCTCGCTGGTGGCGCAGAGGGTTAAAGCACAGCACTAAGAAGCTAAAGCCACTTCAGCATGAATCTGATCCCCGCACCAGTGGTGATCCACATTGTGAGGCAGACCTCTCCTGACCCACTTGCTGCTCCCCTCAGCAGTGTACTTTCTCGATCTGCTTGTTCTGCTCCCCGCTCTGTCTCTGGTGAATCCT